TACAAGTGGCAAAGGCTAAGGGCTATTCCTTACTTCCGTCCAGGTTTTTACCCGAAGCGACCGGTTTTAATCTATTTCTGGTGTGCGGAAACCACGCAGAAAATACGCGTCAAATAATATTGAAATACGTACGAGTCCATATTTCAAGTCGCATAACCTTGCACCCTGTACTTTGACAGCTAGAGTTTCACAAGTATTGTGCCTATTCTGATCTATGGCACTTAATCACACTTACTGTAATAATAATTACTTAACTAATAAGGTAGACAAATTTTTAAATATCAGACTAGAAAGGCTTTGTATAATTTGCAAATGTAGAATCGAAAACTGGTTCGATTATTCGCTCCAAATCTCTAAAACGGTTGGACCGATTTAGAGATTCCGTTCATTCATTCCTTTCTTTTCAAGCCCTATTTGTCAGTTCCATGACATAACAATGTCAAATGTGATGATTATTTTTGGCACAACATTTAAATCAATTAAATCCTAACTCATACTTACCTACGTCATATTAGGCTTCGTTCACATGGCATCGTAATGCACGTTTTTTGCAGTTTTCGATTTTAAACGAATAGCCGCTATATTTATATAGCAATCACTCTGAGTGCACCTCTATGATGGATCCACGCTTTATTGCACTTATATATGTCTGTGTTTATACTACACTGTAAAATACCTTCATATCGGACATTTCTAGTGAAGCTTAGTACGTGATATGTTTTAATATTCTAAATGCAGGACGTAAACTCCCGTGTACCAATTTTATATGGTTTTGGCATTGACTTACAAATAAATGGATGACGGGTCTAATACAAAAACCACGAAAAAAATGTCCCAAGTCAACCTACTCGAAATTTAAATTGTAATGTCATCGCAGTATCGCGCTGTCAGTAGAACAAATGAAGACTAAAGCGGAGTGTCGCGCTCTGTATACGATTTTAGCGCCTTACAAGTGCGGACACTTTTTAGCGCGGACCCGACGTCCATATAATTGTAAGTCAATGGGTTTTGGAGAAAACTCAAAAAAAAATATTACTAAATATTTATCAACACGAGTTTAACAGGAATATAAAACACTATTTATTAAACTTTGTCGCTTTTCCAAAATGCCAGCGTAAGTTAAGAAAATCGAAAATTTCCATTTTACTGACACTGAACTAGCTGCCAAAGCCCAATTGGTAAGGACTCCTGCTCATTCAATGGTATTTATGCAAAAAAAAAAAAAACAATGTTCTTGCGCCGCCTTTATCATACCTCTGTCTGTAAAATAAGCTACGAATTAGATATTTTTCCTATAATCTTTCAAAAACCTCTTATAAAACTAATATTTAAATCAGGGAATAAAAACGCCTCACAACTTATCGACCAATATTAATACTTCTCTCTCTCTCTCTCTCTCTCTAAAGTTTTCAAAAAAATCAGTCAACAAAAGATTATATCAATATGCAGAGAAAAATAATGTACTAGGGGACAATCAATATGGTTTCCGTTATAAACGTTCTACTGAGACAGTTAGTAGTACTTCTACAAACTATAGACACCAGACTTTCACAAACGAAACTATTATTCAAGAACATGCGAGGACCATAGGTATACAAGTTTCTTTTGTAAAAATTCATTTTCATTTTCTGTCATTTTATAAAATGCTTTTTAAGGAAAAAATTGTAACTTACGCCTGCATTTTGGAAAAGCGACAAAGCTTAACAAATGGTGTTTTAAATTCCTGTGAAACTCATTTTAATAAATATTTAGCATATCATTATTTTTTGAGATTTAATAATTTTTGTAATTTCTAAGCATAAAAATCGAAGAACTCTAAGGTAATTTTCTCCAAAACTGGCACACGGGATTGGGAGTTTTCATCCTGTATTTAGAATATTACAACGCATCATTATATTAAGCTTCACTAACAATGTCCAATCTGAAGGTATTTCGAAACAGTGTACTGGCATAGTAGATGCCAACGGATTCGCCCTCGGTGTAACAGAAAGTATTTGGGTTTTACAAATACATTTTTGAAAAATTGTTCGAAGATCCAAGAAACGATGAAACAAAGTTTTTCAATTACTTTCGGCTATCTCTTATAGGCTCATCTCACACTGGCGCAGAGTCGAAGCGTCGCGACGTGTCATGTTTTCGTCTATAGTATATTCATCTCTATTTTCCCACTGTTAAGGTACAAATTTGTGTTAAGCAATGCGTCGCCAAGCGTTGTAGTTGAAAAACAGGACGCGACGCGACGTTTCGACTCTCTTTTTAGTTCTGAACCAAAATTCTATTGTCTATGGTACTCGCTACTGAACTAAAAATTTTCAAAAAAGAACGTAGTATTTTGCTAAGTGAGTGAGTGCTCGATAAACGAACGTATTTAGCGGTGTGCGTTTTTTGCAGTACAAACGACGTGTGAAAGATTCTCTAAGTATTACTTGGAGAACCTTTCACACGTCGTTTGTACTGCAAAAAATAGTGGCGCGTACATATGCGCTAGTGTTTTTTTTTAAGATTTATATTGCAAAAAACATGTAGTACAATGCCGTGTGAACGAAGCCTTAGGTACAATCAATTTTTAAACGACCGTTCGTTCCAAAACACCCTGCATAATTTGCTTACCTCACTAAGCCCCACTATTCGGTTGTTGGACCCCCACCGAATTGCGAGTATTTCAGGTACGTAATATATTTTCTTTCTTTACACACGTAAATAAAAATTTGAGCATACTCAACCGGCACTAAAGTAATACAAAAAATGGCTTCCTTAAATAAAACGAAAAACTAAATAAAAAAACATAAAACAAAAAACTTCCTTGCTCCAACTGATTTTAATTTTTTTTCGGAAATTGGTTAACTTTTACTGGAAAAAAATTCAATTCCGATAAGAAAAATGCCCTTAAACTCCTAAGATTTTCATAGCAGAGACATCTGCATAGACAATAATGGCTAATACTTGGATATATACTTTTCACAAAAAAATGTTTTCCTTTCTCTCTATATAAAAAGGCAATTTCATAGGTAAGGAAGGACCTAATACAACCCCATTGACGTATTTTACATATAAGCTCGTCGAGCGCTTCTTACGTACATTACCATGTTCGATATTACGACCGCGTTTCTGTGGACGTTACAGTGATATGCTGTCGTAAACTACGAACACTGACGAACGCGTCCTGCTGCCCTTCCGTTCAACTTCTTTATATGAACTTCTATGACGAGTAATTTCACAAAAAAAAAAAAATTACAATAAAAAAAAATAATTACAATCATTTTCAACCCTGACGTTGGCGAAATCGTCGCGCAAAACGACGGAGCCATAGATACAAAAGTTGAAGTTGAAAGCGACATCTCTAGTCAGCGATAGTAGCTGTAGCGGTATCCTCCTGAGTGAAGAAATAAATTTCTCACAGATGGCGCTACGACAAAAAAGTAGTTAAAAAAAAGATCTGCAACAAACACAGAAAAATTCACAAGGTCTGCTGGTTTGTTCTGTGGCTTAATTGGCAGAGCATCTGGCACGGATTGCCTCAGGGTGTTGGTTCTAATCCAGCAGGATCGAATGAATTTTTCTTAATCTTTGTTATAATTTATTGTATTCATTTCAAGTGCGTTTGGAACTTGAAACAAAAATCGCGATAACGCGAAAATGCGTTGACGAAAACAAAGTGCTTTGTTTTTTGTCGAAATACGCGCGGACTTTACTTTATTTGGATATTATACCCGTGTGCACTGTAATGAGACCCCCCTCGTCTAAGATCCATTAAAGTCAGAGGGTTGCGATTGTATTCTTTTTTCTACTGAACTCTAAGCTAATTTTGTTTCAACTATTTGCAGAATAGTTTTTTAGCTTTAATGTGGAATTATAATTCTGTCCTAAACTTTGCCGTGTAAGATAGTGTTTTTGTGAAAACAATAACAATTCTGGCATACTCAATTTTGTTGGTCAAGCGTGAGTTGTCCATACAAATGAATAAAATTAGTAAAATTTTTTTGAGTTGATCTGACTCAATTTTATGTAAGGATCATTTCATTGTACGGGACGAAAAAATCGGGACGGCAAAATGATTTTACATACAATTGAATGAAATTGACGTTTTTTTATACCTGTTAGACTCAGTTGCTTATGAGAATTATTTTATTGTAAAGAATCGGGACAGTACGTTGGTCAAATTAAGTAAAATGTTATTAATTTTGCATGAAAAAATATTTTATGATATTTGACCAACTTCTGCTGACCCGATTCGTCCCATACAATGAAATGATGCCTTCATGAAACTGATCGTCGATCAGTACTAAAAAATGTTTTTGACAGTTTTATTAATTTTTATGGACAACTCACGATTCATCATAAAATTGACTACGCCGAAATTGTTTCCACAAAAAGAAGATTTAGTTGTTCTAAGACAGTTTTCTTGTATGTTCTTTGATTTCGGATTTACCCAAACTGTCCCATTAAAAAAAAAATACTTTATATATGTGAGAACGAGAATCCGGCCTAAAATGTACGATACCAACCAATTAATAAAGAGGTTTGATGGGTATACATCAAACCATCAAACAATAAGTACGGAATGTACAGGCATAATCGTATATGAATATATACGAAAAAACAATTAAATATATCAGACTTATAATTTTATTAAACAAAAATCGAACACAGAAAAAATTAACTTCGATGCGGTTGGATTCGAACCAATGTCTCCCAGCAAACAGTGTCAGACGGCTGCTAACTAAACTACGGAACGTACCAATGGACCCTACAAACTTTCCATGGATTTGTAGTAATCTTTATTTTGTCTTTTAATGACTTTTTTCAGTTTCATTAAAATAAACGAAAAAAACTTAATTACAATTATTAAAGTGACATCTCTAACATATAGCTACTTCTCTCATCGTAGCTGTAAAGGTACTACCCTGAGTGAAGAAAAATCTTTCATAGACTTCTCACAGGTGGCTTAAAGGCGACCGTGCCAGAGGTTTACTGGGAGGCGTTGGTTGGAATTAAACCGGATCGAAATGCTAAGTGTTCTATTTTTATTTAATAAATTATAATAAACTTGTGGAGTAACTAAAAAAATTGAATGTCATGTTGGTGAAACATCCATCCATCCGAACGCACATTCAATAAAAACTTAATTACACTTGTTGAAGGCGTCTCTGGAAACTCGACAATATTTCCTCGAGTTGTGTGTCTGAGAAGAATTGTATGAATTGCACATGGGCCATGTCGACGTTCTTATATTTCGGAATCTCCAGAAGACCCAAGGCGTGTGTTGTGCACAGTGCCATTTTCTTCCCAGTAATGCCCGTCACCTGCAAGTAATTCGTTCTATTTATAACATACATTTGTAATCCTTTATATATTTCGTTGTTGTTGAGACAGAGATATATTTATTTGTAAGCATACACGGTAAATACAGTTTACATATTTAAGATTCACTTATACTTTAGCGTGTTGCGCCAGTAACTGACATACAAATATTAATAGCAAATATTATACGTTGTTCGCATTTATTCTTCAAGTCATATTACATTATATAATTAAAATCGTGTCGTATTAAATTAAATATATATATATACATTTTAATTGAATAATATAATTAAAGAGAAATTATGATTTAGTACAAAGATGAACGCATGTCAAAGTAATAAATATGTAGTGAGTCACAGGCTGCAAAATTCAAATGTCAAAAACTCGTTTACATTATAAAAACAATTTGTCACAAGCAATTGAAACGTAAGTAAGAAAGTATTTTCTTAAATCTAGACGTAGGTAACATTGTTATATCGTCAGGTAAACAAATACACTATATAGTTTTACGCACATGTTATAGCAATTAGGCCAAACGATAGGAATATCATGTTAAAAAACGAAAATTTTTTGAACTATGTTTTTTGACAAAAATACTCATCTCGAATATACATATAAGGAAGGAAGGGACAATATTCTTAGTTTTTTAATTAAGGGTTTGCAACTATCTCGCATTTATATGAGAAGACAAATCTACTCTCAAAACTAAGTGTGTTCAAGTGTGTTCAAACAGTCAATAGCTAACGAATATTCACAAGCAAAACCCACACACTCAAAATTAAGATCTAAATTAACCTACACTTAAATATACTTTTACCTACAATTAGAATTTTAAATACAATTATACGATTAAGAAATAGATCTCGTTTCGCTGATATTGTTGATAACTCAATTTTGCTAAAAATAAAAATGCCAATGACGTTAGTTATGATTATATATAATAGTACGGTAAATAAGAAATCACTAACGAGGACCTATTAGTATTTTTGTATTTTTTACCGTCCGTGATACAAACAAAGTCTTTCTTTGCGAGGAAATAAATACAATGTTTATTTCTAGTATGAATAAGTAAGATTCACAACACAACAATTATATATATATTATTATAATAATTGTGCAAATGGCGAGTTTTTTTATCAACATATGGTCAGCTAGATATTCTTCAACAGATAATAAATACAACACGAACTAAAATGTTGTAAAAAGCAAAAGCGCATACAGCCATGATAAGATTTGCTAAATTTTTATATAGTAATTGAAATCAAATAAATGTTATGTTATGTTATGTATAATGTAGTATTATTTAAGTAGTATGTGGGTGAATTGCAATTAAATTGTGTTTAGATAACATTTTAAACCAACGTTTTAATTTTGAACTTTAAGTAACCTCCTAGCTTGAACATGTAAGGAAGTATGTCGTGCTACAAATTTAAAAAATTTCCTTACCGACTATGGCTGTAATGGGAAGAGAAAAATCCGGAGGGTTTTATTTGGGGCATTACAGTCAAGTTAGCTACCAATCAACAATACTGTTTAAGAGCGAGTGCGATGAAAAATTCTTTCGTGCGTTTGTTTGTTTGCTGAAATTACTTACCTTCGCGATGTACAGTGGTGTGCGGCAAATTTGGCAGTCATCGAGATCGCGCACGTTCCATGCGTGCTTCTTGCCTCTTTTTGGTCGCCTGAGCTGACTTTCGCTCTCAAGTGGAAGAATGACCTGTGATAACAATAGATATTTAATATTGGTTGTTGGTTGTAATAAGGCATCGAGTATATAACCAGGAATAGAGACGAAATGTCATTTAATTTGTTTGAAAACTATTCTGCCAAATCATTACTATCACAACTACGCTCCGATTGGCCAGCCCGAATTCGAAACAATTGACAGGTGCCGTTTCACTTCAAATCAACCAGTTTAACTTAAGCTTTGCTATAATGGACGATAATTGCATAATGACATATTTAATTACTGATGAAATGTGATTCCGTTTGTTTTGCAATTAGATGTTTTGCTGTTTTTCCCCACACCACCAAATGGAACAGCCCCCATTGTTAGAGATATTATTTTTATTGCAATAAATACAGAATATTTTTGGAATATACGGAGACGTACACACAGGTCAGTTGTTGGCGCTGTACTATTTCAACTTTCTAATTTGTGATTTCAGCGCAAACGAGAGTTGATATTTAAAATTGATATACGGCCCATTCGCCTGATGAGTTGCCAGTGATGGATGGCCCTTATTTCGACTCTGTTTCTGGTTATATACTCGATGTAAAAAAGAATCGTTATTTGTATGAAATAAAATGTAAATAATAATAATCTCGAAATATAAAGTCGAAGTAGGTATACAACCTTCGGTAAAACGTGTAAAGTTCCAAACCCGCGTTTAGCCAGGGTGGCGGGCTATGGCCTAAACTCTCGCTTGAGAGGAAACCCGTGCCCAGAAGTGAGACGTACAAATGGGTTGATGGAGAATAATTTGTTGTTACTCAAAAAGTGTCTCACGTCACATGGCATTTTTCTACGACACCGAGTGACGGGACGAATAAGTCGTGCCCCTGGCGGAAAGCGACACGCCTGTCCATAACAGTTGCAGTGTCACCCTGAGACATACGTTCACAAGTCCCTTCAAAGCTGGAAGACAGTAACGCTCACATTACGGCTTGACGGCAGAAATAGGTAAGGCGGCAGTACTTTCCTGGACGAACTCTTTCACAAGAATCTCTACTGCTACTTCAGTTTTCGCTAAAAAGAGATAATTGGCACTGACCGGGGTGAGTCCTTTCCTGTAGAGCGCTGGTCGGTTGCTCATCTCCATTTGTAAAATGGTGCTCAAGCTTGCGTGGACGAGCTGCAGCACGGACATCGGTAACGGTTGATTCTTCGACAACGCTATCAACAATTGTTCTAACGAGAACGCCGTCGGTTCGCAGCTCTCGCGCAGCTCCTAGAAACAGATGCACTTTGAACTTTTGACTTAATGTATTTGGCACATTCTAATCATGATGGAATTTTCGATAGCCCGAAAAATCGGTGAAAGTTATTCCTTAAATCGCTTATTTTTATATCTACACCTTTATTTATTAATACAAAGATCGAAAACTTGGAACGAATCAGCAGACCTCACGAATTTTTCTATGTGCTTGTTGTCGTATCTTTGTATTTGGTTTTTCAACGACTTTTTAGCTTTTATTTATATCATTAACAGTCTAGTCAATGAACGTCAGGAACTGTTTTTTACGAAACGATGCCCTTTGAAGTCTGAAAACCTCAGACCCTGGTGTGTCGCAACTACCTAATGGAATAGAAAAACTAGTTTAAAAGCTGAGTTACCAAGCACCAATTAGAAGTTATCTTACTATCATTCAAATACTTTTGTCGCTGCAATTTGTTATCAGGCCCTGGAAAAAATGTGATTCCAAAATTATCACAAATATGACTATTTTCGAGAAAATTCGCTATTCCGACCGATCGTACCACGTCGTGAAGTTCGTATCAAACTTGACAACACGGCATGCGTTCAGTTCGTCAGTGCGGTGCCTCACCGGTAAGAAATTGTGTTGCGATCAGTGACGCTGTTCCCTGTTCCCTGGTGAGTGGTTCAAACAATAATCAACCTCAGATCGTTGGTATTTTTAGTATAGACATAATAGTCATTTACCGCTTTTGTGCCTAAAGCTATTAGACAGTAAGTAAAGTGGTGGATTGTCAAGGTCTAACCGATTAACAGTTGAAATCTCAGTCCCCTGTTCACGTATGCGGTTGGTGACTGAGAACCAGACACAGACTAACGCATTTTCAAGCTTAAAGTCACTGGATTTTCGAAAAGGTGACCCCGTCAGACTGACTAAAACGTATTTTACAATTAGTAAATTGTCGTTTTAGTTAAGTACTTTTGTTGCTGTGTAATATTACTAAAGTGTAAGTAAATTCAGACTGAAAAGTTAATGACGTATCGACCGTGAACTGGCAACCGGTACCATCTCAATTTTGACAAGTTTACACGATGAAGAAATAAATTGTTTGTGTCATTTATATAGCATCTGGTTTATTAAATAAAAATATGTAGCGTGTGTGATTTTTATTCCACAAATCCCCACTGCGTAGCAAGTACTACGTTAGTGGGGATTAGTGGAATAAAATTTAATAAAAGGTCAAGATCCCCACTAGTGGGAATTTCGTAGTGGGGTTATGTGGAATATACCGAAATTTTGCATGTTTTCAGATATAACTATAAAAATTAATGATTTCATTGTTATTTATTTCGTTTTATGTACTCCTGACTATTTTATCAGTCAGGGCACCACGGATCACTTTTTTTTTTCAAATGGTCATAATACACATCTTTTTGTTTTTTACAGTCCTTCTTAACAATGTATTACGAACATGCAAGGCTAATACGAGGACAAATTACGGGCTAGAATTTTGTCAAAATGCTTCCATCGTGATTAGAACTACGCATTTATACGAAATGCGGTAATGAGTAATTCGCTAATAGCAATGTTAGATTTGTGGTGTTTTCGTGGAGAAAATTGGAAAAACGTTGTTTAATAGTTTGTGATTTTGTTTGAAGTTAACACATGACAAACAAGTTTTTTGAATAATATATGAGAATACAAATTTTGATTACAGAATACGAAGTACTATCTAGCCAGTATTTCAACAAGATTCACCCGCACACAGATGTTCCAAATCTTGCTCTAATAATAATAAACTTCACAAAAAGAATACAAAAATAATCTCAGTACAGAGTACTAAAAAAAACCGACCTCAAAAGTCATTTATCGCAAGTTTGCCACTCTTAGAATACTAAGGTAACTCCTTTCCAACAAAAAAAGAGTCATCAAAATCGGTTCAAAAAGAGTTATCGCGTAACATACATACAAAGAAAAACATACAGTCGAATAGAGAGCCTCTTCCTTTTTTGAAGTCCGTTAATAATTCAAGTAATTTTCAAGCGATTTTAGAATGTTAAGTAACTATCATTATTGACATAGCATTGTTGGTAGGTCAATGGTCACAAGGAACAAACACAAAGAAAAAAGATCCAAAATCAAAGATATGTAACAAACGAATAGAGAAGTTCTTCTGACTCGATCTGTAACTCAGTCGGTAGAGCTGTTGCCCTACATTGGCATATAGACGCAGGCTCGAGTCCTGACACATCAAAGGAATGTTTTACTGTGTTCAATCTTTGTATCCATAATTATAACAAACAAATGGAGTAATGTCACAAAAAATAAATGAATATCATGATAGTAAAACATAATAATAACAATGCACACACTCGTACTTCCGGACTAGGGAAATCCTGTATCACGGGTGCCACGTTCACACACATAGACAATAAAAAATTACACGAGAGAAATACAAATAGGTCATACAAATATTTCTCCTATAGGTAACCGTTCAGCCACGGAGGCAGTTAACATTCGATAATAGCAATAATAAGTAGCTACTCACTTGGAATACTTGGTTGACTGACTTCAGCCACTCGTAGGTGGCAAAGTACACGCTTTCTGACACTACTAATGTAGTGCAAATGGAACACGAGTAAGCTTGCGGAAACACGACGATGTACTCTCCGGGATTCTGCACAACATGCGAAAGCGACACGTTGTGTTCCAGCAGCAGTTTCGGCGGGATCATTGTTATGTCAGACGGCAGCCAGACCGACTTGTTCTGACACAGGATCGGGCACAATTCCTCAACAGCTTTACGGAAGAATTCGCTCTGATCGGCGGGGATCCCGTACCTACATATTATGGGACATTCATAATTTGTTCATAGAAATATATTTTATAAAATAGTAATATTTACATAGATTTTATAAAACAGTTATGTGTACACTATGTATGTATACAGGCTGTCCCAGCACTCAACGTCAAAGGGGCGCCGGGCGAGAGGTCACATCAAGTGTTCAAAGGTTAAACAAATATTTTTAACAAAAAAGTTTATTAAACAATTACGTATTTAAATTACAATATAGATAGTTACTTAATTATCCAATGTGATGGATGACTAAAATAAATGTGTTTATTTTGACGAATATAAAAAGCAACTTGCAAGATTTTTAAAAATTTGTCATTTGTCGTTGGGTTATTTCGAGATAAGAGTATGTTGTAGTTTGTTCAAGAGGCTTGAGTTTTGAGAATAAATCCGTTACAGACTTAACATATTTCTCATAACAATAGTAAAACAACTGGACAACGAGCTTAGTTATGTTGCTCATGACGAATACATTATAGAACAGGCCTTTCAAATGCTGAGTTTCATAAAAATAAACATTAAAAGCTTCAAAAATACGAAGACGCTAATTTCTCTATACAACTGCCTTGTCCATAGTGGCTTTGACTTTCCAAGCGTCGTATGGAACCACTTGAACACGTACAAAAAATATTTACACGGTATCTAGCTTTTAGCCCCGGCTTTAGTTACAAAAATAAATACCAGAGACGACTGGAATATTTCAAACTTAATACACTGTCAAGTCGGCGAGACATAAATGACCAGGTTTTTCTCTACAAGCTGCCGCGGGGACCTGGATTGTTTGGAAATATTATCGAGAATCGCACGTACTGTTCCACGTTTCAACTCAAGGAGGCAACTTAGCAAACCTTTTCACGTGCTCCTCTCCAGGCACAATAGCCTGAATAGTCGTGCAGATCTTGACATAATATATTTTGACAGTTTGCCCCGTCAGATATTGATAGGTACATAGTCGATGTTTTTAAAAAAACAATGACGAAATCATTGTTAAAAGAATTCAATGTCATAGTTACAAGTTTGAATAAAATAAAATAATTAAGTATTTTCAAATTGTACTAAATGTGTAAGTCTGAAAATAATATAATATTTAGGAAATTAAAATGACTAATTATAGTCTGGCTTTTTTGAAAATGGAGTAACATGACATTTGCAGAGTTGCAAACTATGTAAAAAACAGGTTGGGTTGAAAACTGATTGAGGGTTTGGGGGTGCAAGGTCAATATAGAATTGTTATAGAATTATTTGATGCCATATATTTGCTATTACTTACTATGTGTAGTAATGAATATTTATTGGTGGTTCTGCCGAGGAGAATGCTCCGCAGCACAACCACATTGACTGAAAGTTGACGACAAAACTAATGACATAGATATTTTTTAAATAGTACTAGAATTTTATAGAAATGTTATAGATATTTTTGAAAAAATAAAAATTTATTTAACCTTTATTTAACCCGAAGTATGACGCCACTGGTTTCGGTTTCCACAGACTGTCTAATTAAGGAAAAAACACTCTGTATATATACATCTGTACGTATCGATTTATGGACAAAGCCATTCCCTGCCTTTTGTGGTAACACCTAAACTAACCTAAACTCGAAACTTAAATTATCTTTATTTCATGGATAAGCAAATTGCCTTTGAAATTGTCATAGATTTAACCCTAGTACTCATTCGTATTGCAGATTTCCCTGAGAACAATGAATAAGAAACTCGAAAAGTTGCTGTTTGTAAATAAACATTTATCACTTACAATATTTGTATTAAGGTTCTAGACAACCTGCAAGAGTTAAACGGATCACTGCCATGGATTTTTGACATACAGGTACGCAGAAGCAGTAATGCTGCTAGTACCTTTAGTGTAAAATTTTTCTTGCTCTGTACTTTTCAACCTTGTGAATAGCAAATTTTGAATATCATTCAGAATCTTATCGTCGATGCGTATAGACATTGCCCTATAGTTGACAATGTAAAGATTACTGTCAAGAATCCTCAGGTGATTTTCCGAATCCGAGAAACGACGGTCCTAAATATCGCAGGGACCATTTTATGTCTAGGTGTATAACCGATATTTGTATTTTCTCGGATTGGAATCGGAATTAGTGCACAAGCGACATCCGAAGTTTGTCCGATTTTCTAGATATGTATACATATACGTGGAGTGCCCTATAAGTTTCCGGAATGAATAAGAAAAAAATACTATAAATGGTCAGAAATAAATTTATTGTTTCTCAAAATATTCTCCGTTAGCGTTAATGCACTTTTTCATACGAATTAACTAATTTTGAAAACATTTACGCCACTCCTCCGTGACAATCTCTGAAACATATTTTTCATACTCTTCGCCAGCCTCTTCAGGTGATGAAAATCGTTGACCGCGTAACTGGTTCTTCATTTTTGGAAATAAAAGTCACAAGGTGTCAGGTCGGGACTGTACGCGGGATGGCTGATCATAAGGTCAACGTTATTCACCTTCAAAAATTCATTTGTCTGTCTGGCTGGGGAGAAGTGGCATTATCGTGGTGCAAGATGATACTGCGTTTACTGTTATTTTTACGGAGTTTGTCAATAACTTCCGGCAAACAAATGGTCGTGTACCAATCACTATTCACGGTACAACGATTCTCCAAAGCAACAGTAGCCACGTGTCCAGTTTTATTTAAAAAAAGAAGCAATCATCCGCTTAAAGGCATTTTGCACGCTCGCCACTTTGGGTGGTTTCGGCTCATCTCGAAAGACCCATACGCTCGATTGCTGCTTGGTTTTGGGATCGTAACTATAAATCCATGTTTCGTCGCCTGTTACTATGTCCCACACCAAATTTGACGCCCCGTCGGTGAATCTGGTAAGCATGGCATTGCACCAAGTGACGCGATCACTTTTTTATGCCTCAGTCAAATTGTGTGGGATACACAGAGAGCACAGCTTTTTCTAACTCAAATGTTTCTTTAGTATTGATTGTATTTCACTCATGCCTATGCTTAAAGATGCCCGTATCTCATGGTATGTCACATACCTGTCTGTTTTGATCATACGGCACAGCATCGATGTTTTTGTTGTTCACAGCAGTGGACGGGCGACCATCACGAAATTCGTCACTGAGATTCACACGACAGCGTTTGTATTCTGCAAACCAGCTATAAATAGTCGTCTTGCATGGTGCTTCATCGCCAAAAGCAGTTTGAAGCCGTGGGAAGCTCCGCTAAGCTGTTAAATTACACTGAAAGTCGTGGAAAACCAGACTACGAAAATTTTCACGAGTTAAATTCATAGTGATGTAGACAACCAATTTCTAAAATGATACCACAATATAAAAACATGTGACAGTCAGATGGAACAAACTGTATTCTACAGCCAAAGAGTTTCCATTCCAGGTTCCATTCCACTTTTTAAATATTGTTTATGTAAGTGGCCAGTTCCGGAAACTTATAGTGAGCCCTATGTAATCGGATGCGGTACGTAAACGCGCTAAAAGGTTACAATATATTCACCAGATCTTAGAGGATCCCTCGTGCATGTATTCCATCCATGGTAGGCCGTGCGGATCGCGGTGCCAGCAGCTAGTGGCGAATACCATCCCAAAATGCAATGTTGGAACTGTCACGCCCAGCACGTCGCCAAGTGCAGGCAGTACGTTGCCCGGATTGTTGCTCAGCATCTGTTCAGAAATTAGACCAGAGTTATCGTTCATACGCGATGTATGCTTTTGCTTTGATTGGCCAATCTTTAAAAATCAAGGCAATCCACCGCATAAAGTAATACTGGGAAACTTTAGGTGTAGACAACACTTGATCTAATATCATAACTAACCAAAAATAGTAAATATAGTCAACCTTGTGCAATGTCTCAAACCAATTGAGGTTAGGATAAAGAAGGCCGTCAAGAAGTAGTGTTTACATACAAGACAATACCTTTAGGTTCCATGGGTGTTTGCTGCAAGGGTCTTTGCTCTTGCTGAAGCCGTAGGCTTCGGGCCCGGTATCGATAGACGCCGCGTGAACAACCACGTGCTCTCTACCGAGCAGCACGTGGTCCCAATATGCTTTTTCCACTTCTTCTGTCGTGGCGCCGTTCGGGAAATGCATGTTCATTCCGTGCTTCGCCACCTATAAAAACATTATTACATTGATGTGGCCCGTACGGCAATCCTCGTAACTTATTTATAATCTTCACAATTTGTTTTTCGTCACCACTTATTTTGCTCATGAGAATTTTTTCAAAAACTTGGAAGGGCCTATATACTGAGAAACCAGCACTGCTTCAGTTGGCGTTCAGCTCATTAAAGGTTTTTAAGTTTTTTTTTTAACAAATACGATTTTACGACTGAAGCTTTTAATATTTGGACATTATGAGGATGAGACTTTTAGAAACTTTTTTTATTAAAACAAGCGCACATTTGATCTCCAGCTCACCTAATGGAAAATGAGGATGAGGTCGACGATGGAGCATACTCATTTAAATAATGCCTATTCACTCTCACCTTGAAAAGGGCCCAAGTTAAAAAAAAAGTTATATCGTTCGAAAAACAAGTCTGAAGACAGGGAATTGCACACCGTAGCCGTTCGCCATAAAATTGTGGAAGCGAAACGTTTAGTGCGAATTCTTGAAGTATCTACAACATAAAGGTTGTTTACAACCCAGCCTCGGTAAAGGCGAAACTAAATCGTGCAATTCCCTCCCACGTGATACATCTTGTAGAATACCTTCATATTTCGGAGAACATTCGTGCTTTAGAGCTAATACCACAAAAATCTTACTTTTTTGAAGGAGGCAAAATCCATTTTGCGACCAGGGGTGACGCAGTCTTCGGCCTCCTTCAAGACCTTGGATAACAAGTCATTCTCCTCTTCCTCATCCTCCGACGAGTCCGACTCGCCGAGAAGCTTTTTTTGAGCGTGCAATGGATTCATAGCCCATTTCCGCATCTTATTGTACTTCGCATTCCATCGTTTCTCTACCAATCCCATCAGTTGTTCCCGCTCCACTGCAAGATGTAAGAGAAAAAATAATTATTATTATTTCATTAATGGTCGCCACTAAGACTTGGTCCAATGTCAGTTTCGATGTATGTTGTCACGGACGCCTCTCAGCTTTCGGATCATTGTTGCTTTGGAGTGGCCATGTGGATCCCAAGTTTAAAACCATTCTTATACTCCAGGCAAAGAGCGTTTATCAATATTTCTTTTATTATATATGGCGGCCACTAGGCTTGTGCCAGCGTCAGTTTTATGACAAAATTATGGCGATCATTGTTAGTGAATAAAAAAAGTATTTTCCCAAAGAGCGTTTCGCGTGCGTATTTGAATTTTCAAAACTGACAACACAAACGGCCGTCCACTGCACTCTAGACCTCTAAACTAGCAACACAGACGCATAACGTATTGTCAGTTTTTTATTAAATAAAAATAGTGTTGCTTAACAGATCGACATCAATGATGAGTCATCGTCAACGCTTCTTTCACACTAATACCTGCTGCAGTGAGTTGATAGACAACTGAACCAAACACAATAAATATGGCAACATTATTTATGCAATGTGATATCACTAGTTATCTCTTTGTCCAGCTAATTAAAAATCCGACTTGCATATAGTCTAATAAACAAATGCCTTAAAAAAACTCAAATTTTAGAAATTATTTCAATAACACTTACAGATTAACAAACTTTAAGAAATAAAGTTTGTTTATCTGTAATAAAACTCTACAAACTTAACTATGTCCATGGTTTCCTGCTTGCGTAGCATTACACTATTATATCCACACTTAGCTGTAAAATTCAAATTCGCGGTAAAACTGCCATTTTGAAATTTTGTCATGAACATTTTGTTTTGCTATACTGCTCGCGCACTTTTCGCTGACGCTGTCGCTGCACTGGAGTCAGATACCCGAGTTCCTAGTATTTGGTTAGCTTATATTTATCACTATTAATCACTATACGTTGATATTATGAGTTACGAATTTAAGTTTCCTTTTAAGACAAATTCGAAAATCCTGAAAAACCCGGGTTCCAAAATGGACGGTTACTCAATTTTATCGATAACCAATAACCGATTTGCATGCTCTAATGGGAACTTAGCTTTATCAACTGAGATAAATATGTCATGGGAAAGTTTATCACATATCGCATGCGGTATAACACCATGCTACGGCTGTTATGCTTTCTTAAAAGTATTTAGTGATAGTACTTACATTTGGATGCGGTGTCAAAAGGTAGTAAATATTTAACGTATATATTTTCCAGTTTAGTCTTGCATTTTTCCGGCAAGCACATAGCTTCGGCTACACGGCTCCAACGCCGTTTTTGTTCCACCTAAATAAAGAAAAATAAAAATCAGCATATCGTTTACTAACAACAAATAACAGTAACTTGTGACGCCCAATATATAGCACTGGGCTTGAGATTTCTGGTAGTACGTATTTGAAAAACTGTTTTTTAATTGACTCTGGTCTGGGTATTCTGGGTAGTGCTCCGGTGTAAATTTCGTTGCTCTGGTACTCATAGTTTGCAATTAGATAACTAGTGCGGTTCTCAGACATATTATTATGTACAATAGATTCTCGCTTCTACCATAAACCTAAACGATAAATTTTGTTATAATTATTAATACAATGATTGGACACTCCGAAAAAATCCTTTGATCCTGATTTGACGTTTTCTAGCAAACCGTGCCAGACGCTATGCCAACTAAACCAGGTAGCCAATCAGCGGACCTTTGGAATCTTTCTACGTGCTTGTTATCGGATCTTTGTATCTGATTCTTAACGACTTTTTAGCCGTAGCGCCATCTATGAGAAATCTATGAAAGTATTTCGTTTCATAAATTTTGTTTTTATAATGGGGTTTTCACAATGCCTTTGTGGTGGTGCTCGGCGCTGCATTTGCGCTGGCAACAACACGCCTCAGCAATCCAACCCGTTAACGGTCAAAAGAATTGAGATTATTCCGGTGGAGTCTACAATAGCCGCACGGTGGGTCCAAATTGATAATTCTTGGACATAGGAATAACTTGTGGAGTATCGAGCTAATTTTTTTTTTATATGATAGATAATAACATTCCTAACAACTTTTATTCTTGTATAATTTCTTGAAAAGTTGATAGTTTCAGAGAATAAATAATTTTTTTTTTATGGAGAAACATACATTTTATTTTTTATCTCAAAATATACGAAAAGTAATGTGCGGGGGTTACTTACAGTATAGTTCCAATCATTTTCTATGTAGAAAAAAATAATATGTATATTTTTCCATACAAAAAAAATCCCTGAAACTACCAACTTTTCAAGAAATTATACAAGAATAAAAGTGATTAGGAATGTTATTTATCTATCATATAAAAAAAATTTGCTCGATACTCCACAAGTTATTCCTATGTCCAAGAATTATCAGTTTGGACCCACTGTGCGGCGTGTTGGTGATCACATCTGCCAATACAAGATACTTCTGATTTTGTCGAGTAGGTGTTCACGAGACAGTGAACGAGAACGGTGACGTCCACAGAAATATCCTCGACTTCGATCGATTATTGATATTATCATCAATTTTAGACTCTCGCTTCTCTCAAGGGTATCATAGATTGATATTGAATTTTTAAATGAACTTGTTCAATTGTTTTTCATTAATGATAAATAAATAAATAGAATTTAATTTACCTGTTCCAAACCCCCAAATGATTGTACTACGTGATAGAATTTGTGTAAGTTGATTTCTATGCCGTCCACCTGAAAAATAGCAGCTATATTAGTGGAAATAATCATAATTTCGAGTAAACGTCAACTCTAGTTTAGTATTTTATGCAATGGTTGCATAATGAGGGATTCTTAAAATCGAGTACCTTACCGGCCTAAGTAATAGTTACGAGATTTTAAGACCTACTTATGTAATGATTGCATACAATACTTTTTCTACGAATAAATAAAATAAAGAAACATAACCAATATTTAATGTATATTTTGTAAACAATCCATAACAATAAACTTAAAAGAAAGTAAACAAACGCTACAAAATTAAAACCAAAGAGCTAAAATGTAACAATTTTTTTATAAAGGATTAAAAAATACGACGCTCTTTTTTTGAAACTCATTTTAGTTCTGTGTACAGAACGTTCCAGTGTGACGAGTACCATAGACAATACCTGTTAAAAAAGTAAAACTGTTAAAACTGTAAAAAGGTCAAACGTCCCCTTAGATTTAGTATACAGGCTGTATATTTGAAAGTGGGACATACTTATAGAGTGCGTTATATTCCTGATTCTCAACCCAAAGAAATAATAAACTAATGAACTTAAACTTTACAAAAAATATTTTTTAATTTTTTTTTATCGACTACTACTTCAGCACAACATTCGTTATCGAAATCTATGCACATCACTATTATTGCTCCGACGCAGCGGCGAAAAGCAAAGCACAGGTCGGGGGTGACAACGCGGGCGCATAACCGAAATTGCTCAGTCCACGCGCGACCTTGATCTAACGAAGACACGTAAATTATTTGTCCTTCCGCTCGCCCGATCGCCGCAAAATGGGTATTTATTCTAACGTGGAATTCACTGAGATGGTGCGACTTTACGCAATAAGTGGTGATAGTTTGAGGCAAGCTATTGAAATGTTCCCAAATCGGAGTTTACGCGGAGGAGGTGAACAGTGTTTCGACACTGTTGCGTTGCGTGAGAGGATTATCTCAGCATTTTATACTGTGAGACAAAATGTGTTTGTGTTGTACAATTTAAAACAAAATTTACTATGCCGTGCTAGACTATGCATTGTGGAAAACGGTGGACATTTTGAACACTTGCTCCGTACCACGTAAGTGTAAATAAACTGTAAAGAACTAAAAAATCAATCATTGTAATTAATTTGATTTCACATTTTTAACTACGCCAAAAACCTCAATTCTTATTAAATGATAACTACTTACTAAAACATTTCGATGATAGTTCAAGTAAAAAACAATTAACATAACCTAAAACGTAAATGTGAAATCATTGTTATTGTTGCTGTCTCACTCGGCGCTCGCTTGGTAGCACTCCCATTGCACTCGAAATTAAGCGTAAAGGGAATCGGTTTATTCCTATCTACACTTCAAAACACATTTGTTGATTAATTTTTTGTTCTATCCCATATCCTAATTTTATTTTAGTCTATGTTAAGTTGTAACATGATTTACTATGACATGTATGAATATGTCTCACTTTCAAATATACAGCCTGTATAGGTATCCTATATACTAAATCTATGAATATACCTAATTATTTTAATTAAATGTTACATTTCATGGTCTTCCTTTTATTTAAGATGCTATGTTATTTAGGACAAAACAATTCTTATGATTAAGGCTTTCGCACAGTATAATAAAATTTACAGGTTTTTTTCACATTTGTCGGGTTCGATTCCCGGTTCAGATGGACGATTATTTAAAAATCTTCGAAAGCAGATCGAATAGTTTTTAAAATCAAAATGTAGTCTTCTTTCAGTAAAATTTTGTATCTGCGGTGTTTAAGGTACTTTCACTCCGTGTGGCATAGCTGTGCGACGCCCTATATACAGGTGGAAATTTGTAATGCCATTTGGAAAGAAAGTACATTAAATACTGGAGATAGAAATTTTTACTTAAAGGAAACATTCCTTTATTTTTAAAAAGAAATAATACTGCATTCAAAGATTTTCGGAAATTGCTAGCCACACGCGCGAATCGAACCCGCTAAAATCTTTAAAAAATGCACCTTGTACTTTTATTAAATCAATCGATAGGGTCAATTATGACAATGAAATCTCTCTTACAAACCATGTAATCTGGAGTTATAAATTCAACGGGTCAAGTTAAAGCACTATTACTCAAAGGTCCATCAGATTACTTGTATAATTAACGTTGACGTCATTTATCCATTAAAATGACGAAGTACTATTTAGATAAAAAGATTGCAATTTGTACATGTTTGCAATGCAGACTCTTTGGTCAGTGACATGAGGTAATTTAAATATGGAATGTTTCATTTGAAAATGGATTGTCTTTTGTTATTTCCATTTGATTGTTTTTACATATCCTTTCTAAGTACTGATAGTTTTCCTATAAATAAATAAATTTCATATTTGTCTCATCGTAAAAATGGCATATCAAGAACAATTTGATTTAATGGAAGCTTATTTTTTAAATAACAAAAATGTGAATTTAGCTAATAATTAACCCTATCGATCGATGCAATAAAAGTGCAGGGTGCGTTTCTTTTTTTTTTCAGATTAAAGCGGGTTCGGTTCCCGCGTGTTGTTTCGAAAATCTATGAATGCAGTTTTATTTCTTTTAAAAAATAAAGGAATGTTTTCTTTAAGTAAAATTTTATATCTCCAGTATTTAGATTACAAATTTCCACCCGGTATAAGCAGGCGGCAGTATCACTGAACATCCAAAATTTTGCAAAAAGGTGTCTTGATTACGGTGAATGATTATGAAATAGAATTGAAATGTTGAACAATTCTGAATTTGAGGGACTTTTGTTCGAAGAATATTCCACCTCAAAGGGCACTTTCCGGTAACCGATTTCAATAAAACTTGGCGAATAGATGTAAGTAATGCCACGAACTTTTGAGGTCGGTTTTTTAGTACTCTGTACTGATCGTTATTTAAACACTGAGTGACCGCTACAATTTTACATCCAATGGCGCGTGAAACGACCCGGTATGCAACACGAGTCCACGCGAGATTATGAGAATGTGTGCGTCCGTCACACATACACGGAGGTCAAATGGTGACTTATATGCATGTTTTTAATAAAAAACAGGCCACGCTGTTTGTATGTAGTAATACCGTGCCAGAATTGTATTTAGAATTAATGTGAACAACACACATAGGTTTGCTTGTTAGTGATTCAACACAACGTCGCAATGCAACGTTTTTGCGTAGCCATCTATTGTCACAAGATTGAACTATATAAGTAGGTACAGTTGTAATGAGCAGTCATCAGAATTGAGGCAATTAATTTCCTTAAAACATTAACGTTTTTTTAGTGTGGACATACTCATTTCCTGATATGACCAAAAAATCCCGGTATTCATATTACTTTATTTTGCAAACATTCCAAAATATAGGTTGTCTCAGATTTATTTCAGTATTTAAAGTACATTAGCACAACTGTAACATTATTTTTGTAGGACTATAATTTGTAGCAAATACTTAATAGGAAATAATATTTTCTCGCCAATGTACTCAAATTTCAATAAATTATACGCATATATTAAAACATAATCAGTTCCGAAAAGTCCCGGGACTTGCACAAGGGAATGTCCACATTATTCTTTAGTTTAGGTAAATTAAGTCACTCAATTCTGATCACTGGTAATTACAGTAGTATTACAATTGTGATATCAGGCAACAGTGCAATGTAACTTTGGAAAATTAAGCATTAATCATAACATCACCCGATACACGACCACACTGACACCGTTTGCATAGATGCACAATATTATTTATTTCAGTTGCAATATAAATGCTACTCATAGTGAATAATCTATATTGCTATGTTTGCGTTATTTAAAGATTAAAATTGTTTATTTACACTGCGTAATACCTATGTGCTCTAGTTTACGCGTGTCGGTCGCAGCAATCTTCGGAAGAGATGTGCGAGTGCTCGTGTGGGGTGAGTGAGTGGTGCAAGTGATGATAATATCACACTGTAATGCAATGTGATGGTAATAGCGTGTGTGTATAGTGATTCATATAATAAGTAACACATCTATCTCATTTTTAGTCTGTGTGATGCAAGTGATGGTAATATCACACTGTATCGCAAAGTGAGTGATGCTTATAATTAACGTGGCCTATACAAATATGTATTTAGTGTATATATATTATTTTCGAGGCACTGTTTTGCGCATGTCTACTAAATGGTTGAAAGCTTTGAAGGCATTACTGTATGTACACAACTTACCAGCGGCCCTCGGCTGTACAAGACTTTTTGCGAGGCCAAATAGGCTTTCATAACGGCATATTCGCGTGATGCGGGACCCCAGCGATTGTACATTCGTGCGGGGTGCTGGTTCGTCACTTTAAAGTTCATGTCCTCTGACAGGTGACACTTCGGTTTGAAAGTTTTCGGTGCCACTATTTTGCATATACCGTATTTCTCTGCTGCCGGCAATATTTTTGTGAAAAATACTATCGGATCCTATAAAAAAAAAAACATTAGTACGAGTCATATCATAATTTAAGCAATTTTGCATCTGATACTTACATTAAATTCCTCTTCTGTCAAGTGGAACGTAGGTGCCTCTACCATTTGACTGGTGGTTGGCTGTTTCATTGATTTCTTTTTTTCCTCCTGCGTTATTTGTATCAACGGGCTCTGGAACTTTGATCTTCTAGCAGCCAGTCTCTCAGAAGCTGATCCCCTCGATGTTGACGGCTTAGGAGAAGCAGCTCTCCTCGGTGTCGGCTTCTTTTTCTTCTTCTGAGCAGGTTTAGTTTTTGGCGCCGTGCTCAATTGCTGGAGCAATTGGTTAAAATCATCCTCGTTCTCTTCTAAAGAGTGCTCTTGGGCGGGCGCCTGCGAACGTGGCATAAGACAAGCCTTTAAGATTTCATTTCTGCTTAGTGTGACCTCAACCACATGCTCGGGAAACATTTCCAAATATACTTTGTTTTGCTCCTCTTCAGAGTTGGTGTCGACGCTGGAACCCTGCGCACGCGCTTTTCGCCGCTTGCTTTGTGAATGGAATGGTGTAACCCTCGACGAGTCGTCAGTTTGAGCGTCGAATTCATAAACGTCGGTGCTGTTCTGCTGCTGCCGTGCTCGTGATACCTCGTGCCGGTCGTGTATTTTGGCAATGACGGTGCACTTGGCACATGTCTTGCATAGCTTATTTTTGGTCTCCTCAGTAGCGTTGATGGCGTCGCTTACATTGTTAATATTCACTGAGGAGCACAAATTGGATTGCATTGTAGGCTTCACACGAGCTGCTGTAAAAAAAATGCTGTTGCTGTGATACTTCGACACAACCGAAAATTATAATTCTCAAATAAACTGTACATACCTTTAGAGGATCGCGACGTGGAAGGCACGGCAGTCTTCGGTTTAGAAGGTCCTAAAATCAACAAAACAAGTATGTGAGTGGTAAAGCTCTTAAGATAAATATGTAGTTTTGATAAATACGGTAAAATAACGGATATATAAGTAGGACAGTACTTTTAGAAGACATGCCTTCCAAGTTAATGTCATTATTTCGGGATTTCTTGTTAACTGTAACAGACATAATTATTCATTTTGAAATTATGTCGGGTTCTCGCAATATTACTATTTGCAATAGATTCAACACTATAAGACATTTCAAATAGGACACAAAATAGAACTTGCCAGCTTTTAAGACGTTTGTTGATTGACTCGATCGTATATTATGGCCTTATTTTCAAAAACTTGAATACGCAAAGTAATTACTTGCAAACCCAGAACAGCTATTTTTGGTTATTATTACAATTAAAAATATGGTAGCCATGACGCACTTGCTACATATACATACTAAAATGGCGCCTAATATTTACAATAATTTTCCAAAAATACTGGGGTCTAAGATAATTCTTGGCGTATTAGGTAGTTTTGAAGGGACAAAGAACTACGAAATTAAAGCGGCGCAGAAAAAAAGAATATATGTAGATATAGATAAAAGGTAGATGATATGTTACAAAGTGCCTTAAGGCCGGCGCAGAGTGACGTCGCGGCATGGCACGGCACGGCAAAGGATTTTATTTTTGATCAAGTTATTTTTATCCTTATTTCATCGAGGTTAGAATTCATATTACTTTATTTCGATACAATTATACCGCGGCACGTTGTGGCATGCCGCAGGACGCCGCGGTATGCCGCGGCACATCGTAGCATGCCGTTTCATTCCACAGACGTCCCGCAAGTCACGTCGGTCACAGAATTATGACAATTAAACTAATTGAAATAAGGTTTGAGAGCAAAACTAGTTGAAAATTAGTGGCTGGCCTTGCTGCGGGACGCCACGATGTGCCGCGGCATGCCGCAACGCGCTTCGGCATGCCGCGACGCGCTTCGACATGCCGCGGCATGCCGTAGGCCGGCCTTTAAACGTGGCATGGTAAAAATTGGCTAATGAGCTGTCTTGCGTTGCACTATTAAGTTGCCGAATGTCAAGAACGTCACAGACAATCGGTCAAGATAAAAACGAGATGCTTGTTGAGTTATGCAAATTATACAAACAAGGCTTGTAAAATGCAAGGAATCACATATCATGCGTAAATATTATTTTAATACTTACTATATTAATAATTTTGATAATATTTTTCGCAATGTGGGACAAAAACGAGAGTGGCGGTCAAAGAATAAAAAATTAAGCGGTGTGTCAGACCAGACAATGTAAAACTTGAACGTAATGCTAATGTTGCTGTAAGTTTCACGATTCGTGACTGGGTTCGATATTTCTATTTATAAAGTAATTTGCTCAGATGCCTTTGAAAATTGGCACGTGGGTTTCTCCGTGGGTGTTTGATAATAATTCGCGGTCAAAATATATTTTTCGTCATTTCTTAATATGATTGCCATGCAAGCGTTTTTTGGCAGCAAAAATGTTCTAATCCGTCTGAAAATCGGCACGCTTCAATCCTTAATTTAGATAAAAATTCCGTTTCCGCCGTTTCTCGATATAGCCACCAATTAAGCGTTTTTTTTTTCGATATAAATGGCTTCAATTTGCTTTGATCGGGCTGAAAATTGGCAGGTAAACATTTCTAGGATTGCGTGATAATAATTTGCGATTAAAACATGTTTTTACGATTTTTAAATATGGCCGCCGTTCATGAGCTATTTCCATTTTTTACACTAAAGTCAAAAGTAGCGAAGCCATTTGCCGAGGACCAGCCGAGAGCGAAGCTCGAAGCGTTCTCACGCCACCGTACGTAGGTAATTGGTAGCAGTGGTTAGGTTAGTACTGCTACCTTACCTATTTCTAACGCCAATGTCAGCATTACTGTGTTCCGATTTAGAAGGGTAAGGGTGCTAGAGAAATTACAGGCACATGGGACTTGTCAACTTATGTCTCAGGGTGACGGGCGCAGTGGTAGTGCCCCTCAGATCTTTGCATTTTAAAGCTCTGAGAGGCACTGTAATTGTTACGGACAGGCCTGTAGCTTACCATCAGGCCCACGACTTGTTACACTTGTTGTCACTTGATGTTATAAAAAAAATGTATGGACACTGTATTACAGTAGTACAAGATCTCACAACTGTTAAAAATGTAATGTAAATAACATACTTATAGCGCAGCTTTGTTGTATCCCCACCATCTCTCTGAAAGATTCCTTTTTCTTGGAAGCTATGCCAAACAGGATAGAATTATTTTAGAGAAAAATATATTATAATAGTAATACCAGATAATCATACCAATTTTCTGGTCTCATACTAGGGAATGTCCCGTGCTCTGAGTGTCAGAACAACGATAACCCTTAGGGCAACACTCTCATCAGAAACAACTTTAAAATGTTCGTTTCTTAAATTAGCCCAAGTCGGGAATTGAACCCGTAACCTCCTCATAAAGCGCCGATAATACTAACCGCTGTGCCACCGAAGAGCATAAACATAAACACAGCCTAAACACCGTAATTTAAACCCGATCACGTACCGTAGGCCGACCCCGAGCCCGACCCCACCGTCTGTGGGGTACAGGAAAGAAAGACACCTTGAAAAGACGTATGTACACATTGAGTGTGTACCATTTGGAGAAAGTTTATAAAATACTTATTAGTAAAGTTCTAAACAAACAATTTGTAAAACCAATGTTTGTATTAGTAACAAGATAAAACGAAATTTAAATAACAATATAGGCTCTCTCAGTTCTCACAGAGGGGCCAGTCAGATATACAAAAGTATTAAGTATGTATGTAGCATTCGAAAAGTTTAGTGAAATTATCGTCTTTAATCACAGATCGGTTAAGTGCCCTTAAAAAAAATGCAAATAAACAAAAAAATTACCTTTAGAGATTCTTGGTTTTGAGGATGATGGTCCGGGAACCGCCGGAAGAGAGGATTCTAAAATCAAAAAGTTTGTGAGTGGTAAAGCTCTCGAGTTAAAAGTGTATTTGTGATAAATTTCGTAAATCAATAAGACACTATGAATTACGTATGAGTAGGTAGCCCGTACCTGACGAAGTCAACGGCTCAGAAACAGTTTCAGAGTGCATGATATCTGAAGCCGTCCCGCTATTATTTTGCTGTACGTGGTCAACTGTAACAAACAAATTGTTATAGGGTAATTGCGATACAATTCGTCGGTACTTCATAACCGATAAAAATAACTCTGTAAGCGTAATAAAGCACTTGGGAATGAGCTAGATAATATTTTGTAGCAGTAGAGCTCCTTGTGAAAAAGTTCGTCTAAGGAAGTGCTGCCATTTAGGTAAAATGGCAGCACTTCCCTAGACGAACTTCTTCTTCTTCTTCAACTTCTGCTGCCAAGCAGTAATGTGAGCATTACTGCGTTCCAGTTTTGAAGGGTAAGGGTGCTGGTGAAATTACAGAGACGTGGGACTTGTCAACTTGTATTTCAGGGTGACGGGCGCAGTGGGAGTGCCCGAGATCTTTGCGATTTAAAGCTCTTAGTGGCACTGCAACTGTTACGGACAGGCGTGTCGCTTAACACCAGGCGCATGACTTAGTCATCCCGTTACTGGGTATCATAAAAAAATCCGGAAATTGCAATTGTTGGAGTATCTGTACCATAACTACCGGTACACCCATGATTTTGGCATTAGAAAACAAAACATGGTCAGTCAAGTGTTCATTTCTGTATAATTCAATCTCATACTATAACCGATGCTGTTGAAACGCTGCATGACACCGTCCAACGCACCACGCAATACATTACAAAAAACAGAAAACGATTAACCGACTGCTCTTTGTTTACGGAATCCCTTATGACCATACCACTACTACCGGTAAATACTAATGTGGTAGGAACCAACAGTGTACTTGTTCAATAGTACCTGACTATGACAAAATGACAGCGGCGAATGTGCACACCAAGCCGCAGCCGACTGGTACTCAAGCTTCACTGCACGCTATCTTGTGATACTTCGTCTCAACTCTCTCTCATCAATGTCATTCTTTTAAAAAACTGGAAACGTTTGTGTTGGCAACTAGCGCTACTCTACTGCTACTATTTATCTAGATTAAAGCAAACTCTCCACATTTTTTTATACTATGGATTAGAGTGTAATAGTGTCTAATATGGATTAACTTATAAGTGATTTCCATATTAGTGATTTCGTTCGCGTCCAGGACTAAGTATGAGAAGTGAGAAGACTCAGTGAATAGTCTATGTTTTGTGTCCTATACCAGAAGCTAGTGCGAAGGTCTGATAAAAATGTTCCCCACTATGTGCCACCCTACGTTATAAGCTAATCCATATTAGAAACGTGATAATAACACTAGTGAAAAGATTAATGCAAGTAATAAAAACATATATATAAATATATATGAAAAACATTAAAGGTACTCAAAACTCCATTAATAAATAAAACTGGTTAAATTATTTTTTACATTATGAAGGTGAATACCTTTGTCAAACAAGAAATACTGGTATATGCATTGATAACATGAAAATACTGGTTTTGTACCACGCGGCAGACTCTATCGGATATTTCTTTAAAATTTGTTTTATTGAATATATGATTATTTTCATAATGGAAATTTTTCCATAACACAACACTAGGTATGACCTACCCTTGGACGTCGACGGCTGGGAAAATAGCACCGGGCAGTTGGCTTCTTTCTGTACTTCCTCGACATCTAGACAAAACAGAAATATGGATTATGCTGGCAAGAATAGAGTGTAATCACACTGCTTGTAATAAATTGGGCACTATAAAACAAAACACAGATACGAATCACGCGATTGTAGCGAGATAGAAAACTTCCATGGCCGGTTATACGCTGCAGATGTTCCTCGTACCCTACACCAGAACTACGATCCTAGAGCCGCCCTGATGTGCCGCAATACCATACGACCTACCAGATATCAGCCGAGACAAGATTGTATTGGCTCTAAAACAGCTCAAAAATGGAAAAGCCCTCGGTGAAGACGGAGTTACTTCAGAGCTTCTGAAATTCGGAGGAGTTCCGGTCATTAAGAAACTAGAGAACCTGTTTAACTCCGTCATTGAATGTGGGAGAACTCCTGAAACCTGGAACAGGAGTATTGTAGTTTTCTTTTACAAAAAAGGAGATAAATCTTCACTTAAAAACTACCCATCTCACTCCTGAGCCACGTATATAAGTCTCGCCAGAAGACTTGACGAGCTTCAGCCTCCGGAGCAGGCCGGGTTTCGACGGGGATACGGCACCCTACACGCACACAGTGAGGCACATTATACAGAAGTCAGAATAGTATAATCGGCCCCTGTCACTAGCCTTTGTGGACTATGAGAACGCTTTTGATTCCGTCGAAAACTGGGCTGTCTTGGAATACTTGCAGCGATGCCAAGTGGACTATCGTTGAATCGAAGCGCTGAGATGTCTGTATAATGCCGCCACTACGAGTGTCCAAGTACAGGACCAGCAGTCTAAACCCATCCAATTGCGCAGAGGTATGTCATATCCCCGAAACTGTTCACAGCCGCATTGGAGGATATGTTTAAGACGCTGGATTGGAAAAGTATGTGCGTTAACATAAACGGCGTGTACATCTCACACTTACGATTTGCAGATGACACAGTCCTAATGACGGAGTCGCTGGAGGCGCTACAACAGATGCTGGACGGTCCAGCGTCCGCTTCACGACGTATTGGACTTGGACAAGACCAAAGTCACGATCAATGATCACATTGATCCGAGACCCATAGTCGTAAATGGCTACCTTCTTGAAGTTGTTTCCGAATACATTTACCTCGGGCAGATTCTGCAGTTAGGTAGACACAATTTCGAGAAGGAAGCCAGGAGGAGGATGATGATGGCGGATTAGTTTATAACATAGGGTGGCACATAGTGGGGAACATTTTTATCAGACCTTCGCACTAGCTTCTGGTATTATAGGACACAAAACATAGACTATTCACTGAGTCCTCTCACTTCTCATACTGAACCCGGGACGCCAACGAAATCACTAGCAGAAGCTACTTGAAAATAACACTAGTAAAAAGATAAATGCAAGTATTAAAAAAACATGTTGCATGAAAAATATTAAAAGTACTCAAAACTCCATTACTCAGGCTGGTTTCTGTACAACATGGAATAAAACTGGTTTTTTTAAATTATGAACGTGAAAATACCTGTGCCAAACAAGAAATACTGGTTTATGAAATGGTAACATGAAAATACCGGTTTTATAACACGCGTCAGGCTCTATCGGGTCTTTGTTAAAAATTTGTTTTATAGAATATATGATTATTTTCATAATGGAAAATTTTCCATGACCCAATACTAGGTATGACCTACCCTTGGACGTCGACGGCTGGGAAAATGGCACCGGGCAGTCGGCTTCTTTCTGTACTTCCTCGTCATCTAGAAAAAAAATATGGATAATGCCGGCAAGAACAGAGTGTAATCACACTACTTGTAATAAATTGGGCACTATAAAACAAACACAGATAGGAATCAATGTTTATTTACCGTCATCATACCGCAGAACACAATCTGAAACAATAAAAAAACGAAGTGAAGCGTTAACATATTGACTATCACACAATTTTTTTCACAACCCTATGAAACAGTTTGCCTAACTGCTTAACAACGGTCTGAAAAAAATGTACAGAAGGGTTTGTGCACATTAATGTAAAAATGAACCTAGAAAAGTTTTGCAGAAGACTTTTAGCTTTATGGGAACAATTTCAAGTTAAGATTCTTCGTATCAACATCGAAAATTGACCAAAAATAACTTTATATTTTTTTTTTATTAAACTAAAACGGTTATGTGAAAGACAAAAATACTTTATTTGTTGAAACTATAATTGTATCCCTTCATTTCAAAATTTACAATAAATTTTCAAAATGGCGTCCTGGTAAAGAAATGCATAAACAACAACGTTCGGCCTTAAAAAGTTCCAACGTAAATTTCCAAATGCTTGACGGTCCTCTCTAATAGTTCGCACAGCTATGACGGTTCTTTCTCTTAAATATTATTCTGTTAATGCCTGGCATAAACAATGTTTTTAAAATAGCCCCAAGTGAAATATGTTACTTAATCAAATTCTACGCCTATTATATTTAATTACATAATTACCTTGACTATTCACAATGAACCCATCGTGAATACTAAAGGTAGTTTTTGCATTAATGTGCACAAACTCACCAATTCATTTTTTTTAACCGTATGAGCCGAATTCAAGATATATGAAAGAAATAAACAAAAACTGTCTTCACAATGTCTTAGATTTTATGAACAACCCTAAATTTCACACATATTCTAAAAACAGCGATAATTTCTGTACTACTAAGGATAACCCCATTCGAATTTTTTTTTTCATTCGGTCTGAGACACCCTGTATAAGAACATGAATGATTTTGGGTTCCTCATACATATCAATTTTAAACGGGCTGCAGATTTTGTTTGGGGCAAAAAATGTAATAGCTTTCATGTTCATGGAATATTTATACGAAAAGCAAAATTATTACATTAAAAATAATCCAGGATGATTCCTGTGACAGTTCATAAAAATCTACACAATATAACCTTGTAACGTGCAACAATTACAATTTACATAAACTATTCATAAACCCCGCTTCTAAATAGTGGATGATGGAAAAATTTCCAATTTGAAAAAAATATATTTTTCAAAAAAATAAATATTCCGAACATTCATTTTTCAGATAAATGTTTTCCGAGTAAATTTTCCCACATTTTTCCACATTTGACAGATGACACCTGTCAAATGTTGAAGATACTAACAAAATATAAACTTCTTTTTACCTATGATTTTCCTTTTTCGCTGTTAAGTAAGTAAGTATATATATAGTACTGGACACAATAAGTTTAAATCACGTTTTGTTCTAACTTATTTACAATTTTATATACACGTAGCTATACAATTTTATTTTATAATTCATGCTAAATAAAACTTTAAAAGAAATTTCTAAACAAACAACATAATATGAGCCTTGGAATTATATTTTTCCAACATTCCCATTTTTCCAACTACTTAAAAAAAAAAATTCCACAAGTACTTAAAAATTTTCGGAAAATTATCTAACAGTACTTCTAAATGAAGCGAAACTTGTAAAAAGCCTTTACTTAAATAAATACTCTAAATTAAAGTAAAATAACACCAAATTAATGTTTCTTTGTAACAAAAGTGAGCGATTTTTTTTTCATAAATTTATAAAATTTTACGACAATGTGCAATGGTTACTCCATGACACTGCATTTACTAGAGATGAGCTAAATCGATAAAGGTTTCGATAATTTAATGAATAAGTGTATAGAGCTTCTCTCATTCTTAAAGCATGAATATTAATCATATGCAATGAATTAACATGTCAGTGTTATTCCTTTTTGAAACTGAAATTGTCAAAAATATCTATTGAAATTGCATTTGATATTATAGTTGTGTATTTTATGCCTTCAACATAATACAAAACACTTCACACATATATGCGTCGTTATGAATAAGTCAGAAAATAAACTATAAGAGAGAACTTTTACTTCAAAAATCAAATAACACTAAAAAATCTATCGATTTTACCTCATCCCTATGACAAACGTCAAATGAAATGTCACAAGGATCATCCTAGTTTGCGTTTAGTATAACGTTGATTTACCTGATTCAGGTGAATTGGATGTTGGATCGCTTGTGATATTATTTTCGTCAATGTTATCGATGCAGAGCTGCTGAGCAGTGTCCGATTGATAATATTGTTGCGGAGCTTGACTATCACTCGTTTGTAACGTTGTTTGGACGATATAGAAAACCGGTACCGGTTGAATGTTGTATCCCTCGGTCGTAGTAGCAACTCCGCAATATTGGGGCGTCGAGTTCTCGTGTATTAATATCGGTTCAGCCTCAAACGTAAACTGAGACGGTTGGGTCGTCATATCGACCGAAATATTTTGTGATTTATTAAGGCTGGTATCATATATTTCAACAAGAGTCGCATCATCTGAAAGTAAAATGTACAACGGAAATGAAACTATTTTTCCGGATTTAAATCGCGTATATTTGTTTTTTCAAACAAACCAATCATGGGACCTGCAAAGGGCCCGATGAAAATATCGGCAACAACTGTCGCGTAAACAAGTCAGCAGTCTGCGAGCAAGTCATAGATAAACCTACACATTCAATGAAGTTTAACAAACCCCAGGTCCTTGCAAAAGAAGTCCGTTATCTACCCAGGATGCTGCGAGAGGCCATTGAAATTAAAAAAACATCCTAATTTCAACAGTTTGGGATCCAGTATTTCCTGTGATAAAAAAATCCCAAACAGACATAAGATTTCAGTATTCATTAATATGTTTAATTTATTCTAATTTCTGTTATTAATTAATAATAAATTTCACTTAATAAAAATTCATTCAATAAAATAATTTATAAAACGTAACGTAGCGTAAATTGGTACGTTTCTTTGTAAAATAAAAAATAAGGTATTTAATTAATAACTTTTGTAACTATAGTGAAAAAATAGGGTGGTTTGCATTAATATTAGACATAACTGGCTTATGACTGTCACTTCATTCAACCGTGACCATGAGACCTGTAAAAGGCCCGAAACGTTGGTTTGTTTGAAAAACAAATATACGCGATTTAAATTCGAAACAATAGTTTCATATCCTATGTAATAATCGCGAAAACCTAACAACTCGAAAAATATACAAATTTTATTTATATATTTAATAATTTATCGCACAGGAAAAACACATTTAGTAACAATGACAAAAAACAAACAGAATGTACTGCTGTTTCTAACAGAAATTTCTTCCTGCAGATATAAATACAGGAGACAACAACTACAATATCAAAAACATTAAATTAGTAAAACTATATAAATAAATATTTAGGACAAATATATATTTCGTACTATAATACTTATAAAATGGATGGAAAGTCGATGAATAGTCCTCCTAACTCTCAATTTGCTAAGGATTTACTATCATGAACTGTAATGGGAAATGCATTCCAAAGTCTAAACGCATGAACAGTGAAGTAGTGAGAATAAAAACAGGAATTGAATGATGGTAAAGATAACTGGGACCTAACGAGAGAGCGACAGGGTTTATCCTGAGACCTGAGAAAGCTAAAACGCTCTTTCAGATATACGAGTATAAATAAACATTTACAAGTAAGCAACTATGCAAAGATTTATTTCAATAATAATAATATTTATTCGCGTAAATCGACGCCTCCCACGTAAAGTATCGTATGTCAAAATTGCCAAGTTTACAGGGGAGCCTTTTAAAGTTCTGAATTCACTGAAATAAGCATAACACGTGACTTCAGATTCCTCACTTTTGTTCGGCAAATTTCGTTACACACGTTGAGTATCATAAAATCCTAGATATCGGCTAAATGATCTATTAGATGATCACTCTATGTGAGTAACAAGCTTTGCCGAATGAAACGGAGAACTTTAAAACACTCCCCTGTAAACTTGGCAATTTCGACATACGATACTTTACGTAGGAGGCGTCGAAATATCACTTGGTGGTTGCATAGGTACAGTTTTTCGTAACAATTAAACTATTCCCTGGCTCCTAAACTAAGAAAACTTTTATCTTTGGAGTTAGTGATCCATTGTTAACACAATAATTTTTAGCTACCTAATTGTTAAAAATAACTTATTTGTTTTCAACATGATGTTTATTTAGAGGATGTTGGTTCATTATTTTTTTTACTGTTATATGGGTAGGTATTTTCACAATGTTTTGAGTTGTGCCCTCTAGTGTGAGCATCCGAACACAGACGTATTATCTAAAAATAGACGCCACAAGTACGACCTATATGAAAACCAAGCGTGCCACAGCGAAATCGAAGACGCGGGGCGTATTACGTATACAACACGTATTTAGAATAGGTAATGATTTTTCCCGTCATTCGGATAAGGTTACGGGATAAGTGCCTACAACTGAGAGCACCGACATCGACGGTAGCGCTCAGATAGTGTCGTATGCAATAAACACCCTAAGGAAATTTAATTCCATAATGCAGCATTGGGTGGCACTGAAGCGTGTTTTGAGATAATTGAAATATACTGAAAACTATGCCTTTACTTACAAATTGAATTCAGAAGAAGAAACAATACATGGCTATTGTGATGCTGATTGGGCCAGTAACGACGATGATAGAAGGCACACCGGCAACAAACAGTTGCGCTCTCCACACTATTATTCCAGGTCCAAGCACATAGATATACGACACCACTTGCTATGTGATAGTGTTATCAAACAAGATTGTCGTTAAGTATATCCAATCGAGTGAAATGACTAAAGGCACTCGTCAACTGACGCTGGATTACTGATCTTCTAAAATGGGTTTATGTCCAAGTCAGGATATTGGAATATGTCCATAAACTGCGTGCAGTGCAACGCTGTAACGTCTTCGCGCGCCCCTCTACTGATTTTTATGTATAGATTCACTTGTAAGTTTTCGAGTTCGTTTTTGTGACAGTTTAATTTAATTAAATTTTTATTGAATTGATATTCAATTATTTTTTTGTGAAATTACGCCACTAGTTTGTTATAATTATTAATACAAAGATCGAACACTCAGAAAAAACACTCGGAAAAAATTCCTTCGATCCGGTCGGATTCGAACCGACGTCTTCTTGCATACCGTGCCAGACGCTATACCAACTAAGCCACGGAACGAACCAACGGACCTCACGAATCTTTCTATGTGCTTGCGTCGTGTCTTTGTACTTGGTCTTTCAAGGACTTTTAATTTAAGATATGCGGCTAGTAGCGCCCTTCTCAAATCAGTGTATTTAGCCCTCTCTGAATCGTTGCTACTACTCATCAACTTTCGTCCTTTCGATTACCCAACTAGAAAACTCATCAACGAGTGTGATTTCCTCTCTGTTCGGCAACTGTTTATCCAACAAATAATTTTGAAAAGCACACAATTACTCCATATCATTCCGTACTTGAACCAACCACAGACGACTCGATACCTTTTCATTTCGTACACAACTCCGCACAGCACACTCGCATAGATTCTTTTGCTTCCTCGGTACAATCGTTTACTTTAAATTTCAACTTTGCGTTATTTCGCAATGAATAAAATGGGATATAAAAAGAACGTCAAATTCTGGCTTTAGAGTAAAACTTACAATGAAACAAGAGCGCTTGCGGGAAGTTGCTTCATAATTATTTTGATATAACCATTAATTTACAACTAATCTTAAGTATAGAAAAAACTATATTTAAATATAGAAATTTTGTTTTTAAGCTGTAATATAAATAAATATGCGCAAAACGATGCCTAAAATACAGATACAAATTTACTTCGTTTAGGCACCGCAGTTACACATTAGGTTCTAATATTAAAATGTATAGCTTTTCTTATTGGTTATTTTATTACAATCATAGCTTTATTTACATTTGTGTTCCTTGAATTTTATTACATTTAAGCTCAGGCTACACAGAGGCGATACAGCGGGTCCGGCCTGGTGTGGTCGGAACTGGTCCGGGGGCGGTTCGGCCCCGGACCGCACCGCACCGCCCCCGCACCGCATTGCCACCGCCCACGCCACGCGTTTCAGTGTAGCTGGGTTCATTGACGATGGAATGGTAAAACGTCTAACGTGTATTTGGAAAATATTACAGGAGAGGCACTTGAAGTAATTTCTTTAAAATAAAAATCATAACTCTAATTTTATTTATTATATGGAAAACTAGAAAGTTGCAGCTTTCCCATACAACAAATAAAACTAGAACTTCAAAAAATGCTTTAAATCGCTCTCCTGTAATATTTTCCAAATGCACGTTAGACGTTTTACCTTTCCAGAGTCGATATGAACTCGTACATTACGAAAATTCCAGCGTCCGAAATGTACCCGCGGCCGCCTTTGGGTGGCCAGTGAATTAGTTATATTGAAATAAATTTATCTTAAGTATTGAGTCATACCAGATATGGTTTTTACATTACTGTATGTACTTGATAATGCTGTTGAAATGTGTGTTAAATCAATAAAAAATAAAAGTGGTATACTAGCTTATTTAACTTACAATTAACCTTTTAATAAATTACTAAAGTCACTGTCAAATGTGGGAAAAAATAGGAAAAAAAAGGGCTATGACGATGATTTTTTTCAAAATGGATTTTTTTTCATGACCCAACTCTAGGTTAGACTTACCCTTAGATGTTGACGGCTGGGAAAATGGCTCCGGGCAGTCAGCTTCTTTCTGTACTTCGTCACCTAGAAAAAATATATTATGGATTATGTCGAATAGATTACACCAATTGTAATAAATTGGGCACTACAAAACCAACACAGATATGAATCAATGTTTATTTATCGTCATCATACCGCAGAACATAATCTGTGATAATACATTGACAATCACACAATTTTTTTCACGACCCTATGCAACGGTCTGTTTAGACAGGATATCGACAGACCGAGTAATAAAAAACAGTCGAATAGGAGGAACTAATATTACTTGTTCAGTAATAGGTATAAAATTTGGTTATAATAATAGTAATAGTAATTTCATAAATAATCGCCATTTTTAGAACATCTGTGAAATTTCAGGTTTTTAATAGAATTTATGACATTCGAATCGGAATAAGATGGGTGGTCATTTGTCAGCTATGTATTAAGACTCTCTTTATCCATGACTTTTAATTATGATTAATAAATATGATTTATACTTCTATTTACTATTATTTTATGGCAGAGAGCACCACTAAGGTACCCTCTTTCCAACAAAAAAAGAATCATAAAAATCGGTTCATAAATATATTCAGCTTACACGTAACATACATACAAAAAAAGTAGTCGAATTGAGAACTTCCTCCTTTTACTTTGTGTAAACAAATATACGCGATTTAAATCCGGAAAAATATGTAGTTTCATTTCCTATGTGTAACAATCGCGAAAACCTAAGAACTCGAAATCTAATATTTCATAGATATTCTAGAAATCGCGATTATATCTGTAATAAGGACAGCCCAATTTTATACCTATTACATGCCTATTACTGAAATATGACCTTCCTATTTGACATATTTTTTGACTAGTTTGGTCTATGACACCTTTGATCATCGAGTATATAGCCAGAAATAGAGACTTAACTTAATTTGTTTGAAAACTATTCTGCTTTATCATTACTGTGACAACTGCGCTCCGATTGGCTAGCCCGAGTTCGAAACAATTGACGGGTGTCGTCAACTGATTCACTTCAAATTGACCAGTTAACTTGAGCTTTGCTATAATGGATGAAAATTGCAAAATTACATACTCAATATTTAATTATCGATGAAATGTGATTCCGTTTGTTTTGTAATTAGATGTTTTGCTATTTTTCCCACACCACCGAATAGAACAGCACGGCATTGTTACGAGATATTATCTTTATTACAATAAATACAGAATATTGTTTGGAATATACGGAGACGTACACACAGGTCAGTAGTTGGCCTGTCTATATTTCAGAGCAAACGGGAGTTGATATTTACAAAAGCTATATCGCTAATGTGTAAACCAGGAATATATGGCCCTTATTTCGTCTCTATTTCTGGTTATATACTCGATGCCTTTGAGAAATTTGAACCATTTTTGGTTCGTCGTACGCATAAATTTTAAATTAACCGAAAATTTTGTGTGGTTAAAAAAGTCATTGCATTCATGTTCATGGATGATGAATGATGCGAAGAGTAAAATCATTAACGTTAATTTACCTAATTCTGATGAAACTGGTTTTGGAACGTTTGTCTCGCTGATATTGCTGTTATCTTTGAGGTTTTGGACATTGCATGTCGTTTCGGTGGAGTCCGTTTGGTGATATTCTGTCGGACTTATTGTATTAACGAAAAAGTGCAGAGGTTGGGGGGCGTTTAGTTCGGTCGTCGTCGAAACATCGCAATATTGGGAGGTCGAGTTCTCGTGGATCAATATCGGTCTAGTCTCCAACGTAAACTGAGACGTCTGGGTCGTCATATCGACCGAATAATTGTGTGATTTCTTAAGGCGGGTCGCGGCACCTGAAAGTGAAACATTATTATAAATAAATACTTAAAACAAAACAACTACGCTGGGATTTATTATTTTAATTACATGATATATTTGATGATTCTGCCAAATCCACTTTTACATTATTATTATGCCGACGTGATTAAAACAAAATTATATCCATACAAACTCCGTTCCAAAATGACACAAATACTCTTTTTAAGTCCTCACGCAAAATGACGGCAGTTATAAAAGTTTGAAGTCTTTGTGTATCTGTTCACAAACGGATGGACACTTTTTTATTTGGAGGCTAATTAAAATAATTTCGTTGGTTCTTGGCTATGTTTGATGGAGATACGTTCAGCTGTTTAAAGGTCATCATCTCTTTTCCCAGTTAGCATAAGGATATTAACCATAAGTAGTATTTATTTTACTTCCACTTGTCCGAACGCTTTAAATTTGTACTATGGAAATCTGACGACATTTCAATAGCATGTTATACTATGGAAATCTGACATTACAATATCTTGTTACTGACTGTTATTGTAACAATTATGTTACAATAACAGTCTGCAGACTGTCCAGATCTTCAACTACTTACTGTAGAACTATAATGTGTCTTCTTCTTTTTTTCTTTTTCCTAGCGGAATGGCAAATAGGTTTTTTTGAAAACGGGGTAAAATGACATTTGCAGGGTTGCCAGTTTTCATAAAAATTTAAAGTCGTGTAATTAATTGTTATCGACAGTTATATTGATAAAATTGTGAATTACGACGTTTTCTAATGGTTACTAGTTTTGTTTTAACACAACTGCGTTAATGCCTTCTTTATTTTAATTTTGACAGTTGGGCTACTAGTATTGAAATCAGTGGCAAGGCGTCCATATAACTCGATTTCCACCGGCTTGCCTAAAATTATACACTTAAAAACATATTCAAAATATTCAATAATAAACGCGTAATAACTTGTCCCGATGCATCTCAACCAATCAGCTCGAGGTAAGCCGGCGGATCTGCGGGTTCTGTTTCATTTATGAAATCTACGCGGTCCCATCAAAATACACGCACACATTCGCAAAAATTCGCTTTATAATATCTAAAGAAATGGCGGCCAACAAGCCGGAATAAATCGGGTTATAGTCAAATAGCGTTCACATAAATTTAAACCTTATTCCAAAAAATTACAGTTTAATTTGTCAGAATCGTTGCCAGATCTAAAATTTTCTTAAAATAATGTAACAAAATTAATATAATAGCTAATTAACACAAAATATGGTTAATTTGTATTTTGTAAATCTTAACGATAAATAGTGTTACACACTGTTTCTTTTTAATAAGGCTACGTATAGAACGTAGGTAGAAGGTCATGGTAATTCGAAGGTAATTAAAATAGCAACACTTAGCATTCATGAATTTGTTTACTATCAAACTTTCGTATCTCGAAGGGTTGCATAAAAACTATGGTTATTTTATGTGTACAATAAGTTAACCTGTGACATGAAGTGAACTACTATCCTGTGTGCTAAAAAGAAATTTTTGTTGACGTGTTTTCATTTCTTCAAAAAGTTAAAGCTTCGGCTTTACCAAGAAAAATTTACACGCCTCGCCACTGATCGAAATCAATTATTTTTCATATAAATTTCAATAAGAACAGGCGGACTTGATTATAATAATAATATTTGTTTAGATTTTGTATATAAATTAAAATAAAAAGCTTTAAAATATGTCTCCTCTTTATATTTTTTACAGACAATTCTAAATGCAGATCAAATTTTAATGAACCTGTGCCCAGCATGCAGCAGTTGGGCGAATAATGGACCGATTATAATTCAAATAAAACAAATTCGGGTATTTCAATAAAATAAATAAAAAGACTTTATGCTTCAACACAACAACGAGAATAAAAACTTACAATAGTGGTTTAAAATCTAAATCAGTGTTGAAGAAAAGGTAACTGCCTCAGCAATTTGCTGGTTTTCAGGCTTCATCTTGTATATATGTAAAGTGCAAGTTAAATATATTTGTCGCTGTTAACACCGCCGCATACAGTTGCAAATTAAGTATATAACTAAAAAATCACCTCACTCATCGCAATTATAAACTATTATATATAAATACTACAAAAATTCCAGTTACAATTCCTATACAAAACCACAAATGATACACGCACCGACCATGCAGCAAAAAAGTCTAAAAAGCATTTTATTATACGTATAGAATAGAACAGGCAGAAAATTTAAATGTATATTATTACTTACAATTAAATTTTCAATTATTATATTAACTTAGCAGAACCTACTTTACCTTCAACCAACAGCACGAAGTCTTCTGTTGTTTCAGCAGCCAGTCTTTATACATATATTGCATGTTTTAACTGGCGGTGGAAGATTATTCCAACATTTAGAAGCGGCAAAGCGGAAACTGCTTCTAAATAAATGTAATCTAGGAGTCGATAATAATTTTAGACTCGGATAGCGTATCGTACTAGTGCTGCCCTCTGTTCTATCATTCCAAACTAGTTTATTTGCCAAATGCGGGGCGTCGGATTATTTCTCAAAAAAAAAGACAAGTTTGCCAAGCTTCAACATTCGCCTATTCGTCATGTTCAGAATATTATAGGTATTAAGATAAGGGGTAATGTGCGACCTTGGCGGAACAGTATAGCAAAACCTAATACATGCGTTTTGGACCCTTTGAGTTTTCTTCGCTGCCCTTTTCTGTAAACAGGGACCATACACGACGTCACAATAATCGACAATTGACAAAACAGTCTTCAGCCTACGTCTTAAATCCGTACTTAAGTAGAGTCTTATTTTATATAGTTGTTTAAGTGCAGCGTAACTAAAGGCCCATTTAGATGGAGAGAGTTTCTCGCACGCTTTGTGACGAAAACTCGTAGGCGATTATCGTAAGCAATAATCGCCATAAGATTATCGTATCATAATGTTTACATTCAGGCAAGAACTAAAATCTCGCCTACGATTATGTCATACGAGATTCGCAAGCAACTTAATCGCCTCATCGACTGTTTACACAGAGAAATATGTAGTAAGGAGATTCTTGCTTACGAGTTTTCGACTTGTCTAAACACGATCTCGTATGACATTTCTTCAAGTTCATACGATTATCGTACAAATCGGTTCCAATCGTTTTGAGTGCGAGAATCGCCATTCGAGTTCAGTGATTACTGCGGTATTGACTATGGAAATATCGAAATGACGCAAGAATCGTTCAAATTTGGAACTGCTGATAATATTAAATTCATTGCATTGTAGAAAAATTTTTTTTTTATTTTTATTTTTTTTCAAATTACATTATATTAATTTAATTACATCATAACATTTCTTAATCCAAATTTTTTTCGTTCTCGTTTAATTAATTCTTGTCTTAGAAAAGCAGTGATAATCAAAGCACCCTCGTGCACTGCACTCGTGGTAGAAACAGCTGGCACAGAAACTCGAAATACGATTTTTGCTTTCGAGTTCTGTTTACATGGAAACGTTCAATATTGAAAGGCGAGGCGATTATCGCTCACGTGGACGGTCGATAATCGCAAATGTTTAGACGAGGAAAGTTTTTTATATTCTTTCGATAATCGTATCTTCGAGACGAGAAACTCTCTCCGTCTAAATGGGCCTTAACATTTAGAAACTTTGGAATCCACATATTTGTCAAAGTTCAGAGAGCCATCAAACAAAACACCAAGGTTTCTAGGTGTTATGGACTCAGGTATTCTCTGTTTATTAATCATAATGGCAGGACCCACATCATGAACACACCCAATCTGATGTTTTGTAGCCAATATAAAAAAAAAACATTTTTGCGCATTCAATAAAAGCCCGTTATTTTTGGACCAATCAAATATCAAACTCGAGTCCATATCTTAGACTATCTTTTATTTTTTTCCATCCTCTAAGGTCCATATTAAGTGTTCGAAATGCTGTATTTTATATCTCTGTGGCTCAGCACATATTAAGATTTATGTGTCATCCGCGTACATATGTGCACTACCCGATTGCATGCACTTACGCAAGTCGCTAGTATAGGCGGTATATAGAGTCGGTTCTAGTATGGATCCTTGAACCATACCACGCGGTACTGGTAGAGTTGTTGATTTTACCACTGTTCCATCAAGGTCAGCACGTTCAACGGTTTGAGCTCTATTGCGAAAATAACTTTTAAACCACGAACGCACACGGTCGGTAAACCCATATTGTTTGAGTTTATAAACAAGGTTACTCCTCACGAGAGAAAAAAGCGCGACTATAATCTAACAATGTCAAAATAGTAGCTAGATTATTGTTAGAGGCCGTAAGAATTTCATCCACCACGTGCAATAAGGCAGTGGTGGTACTGTGCCTTTTTCGAAAGCCCGATTGATGTAACGGAATAATATTATTACTTTCAAGGTACTTAAGAAGCCTAGAGTTAACAGCCTTTCCAACACTTTCGATAACGCCGGCAACAACCCTATTGGTCTTAAATCTTTTATGGACTCAACATTAGACTTTTTTGGGATCAGTTTAATAATAGCAGTTCCATTTTCCTTATTTTAATGATGTGTTCACTATACTTGTTATCGCGACCAACGAGAGTGGTACGGTTAGGCGAATCATTTTCATCGAAATTCCGTCATTTCCAGCAGCGTTAGAAGATATCACTGTCTACTATCACGGCCCTTATGCTATCTGTGATCCAAGGTGTTGGTGGAGCACGGAATGTTCTGGTACGTTCGGGTACAAAATGATCGAACAGCCCGAGCATTAGATATTCGAAACATTCTACCATATAATCCACATTATCATACGCCAAGACCCAATCCCAGGGAGTAATGGATGACGCATATTTATATGTATCTATATGGAAGTTATTAAATGGCCTATATGTTAGTTCTAGATGGAGACTTTTGGATTTGGATTGAAAATTTTGTTGAAATTTTTGGCCCTAAGCGACTTACTGCAACAAATGACATCTAATAACGATCTTGTATTTTGAGTTACCCGAGTAGCCTCTGTAACGGTTAGATACA